TGTGTGTGATCTGTCATCATACTTGATATTACCATGGCCGGAGGAGTCTTCTCGCAAAACAGTGCTGAAGGCAAGCTTCGCGGCGCGTGTGCTGTTGCACTCCTGCTCATGGCTGCCGAATTCATCGGTGGCTACGTTGCTGGAAGTCTGTCCATCATGTCCGACGCAGCGCACATGCTCACGGATGTGTTGAGCTTCATCATTTCGTTGGTGGCTCTGCGGCTCTCCAAGTTGCCTCGCACGGTAATTCTATCGATCGCGTCTCAAAGACACTCACACTTGTTTAGGCTACGATGCCGTATGGGTTTCAACGAGCCGAGGTGCTTGGGGCGCTGGTGAGCATTCTGTTCCTTTGGGTCGTCACGGGTATCCTGGTCAAAGAGTCCATTGTTCGCATCCACAACATAGCAGCAAACAATGCCGAAGCAGCCGAAGACATTGTCGACGGCAAAACAATGTTTATCATTGCAGCAATTGCACTTGTGGTGAACGTCATTTTGATGAAGATTCTGGGTCAGCATGGGCACTCCCATGGCTCACACGGACACGCCCACGGCAATCACGGACACACCCACAGCAACCACGGTCACTCTCACCATGGCTCATCGCACAGCCATGACTCTGGCCATGGGAACGCAATGGACGAAACAGTTGACCCATCTGCGCCGTACACACAGCACGACGAGCATACTGCTGAAGAAGTGGCCGCGAACAAGAATCTGAACGTGAAAGCCGCGTACATTCATGTCCTTGGGGATTTGCTTCAGAACATTGGCGTGTTGGTGGCAGGGGCCGTGATCTGGGCCAAGCCGTCGTGGAATGTGATCGATCCGATTTTGACATTGGTATTTGCCATGATTGTTGCGTACACGACTGTCGGAATCTGCCAGACCACGTTGCGCGTGCTCATGGAAGGCACTCCCGTGGAGATGGACACTGCCGAGGTCGAAGCCATGCTGAGAAATCTTCCGTATGTCCACGAAGTACACAACTTGCGCATTTGGTCGATTGGGTCAGATTCCTGTGCCTTGAGCGTACATATCGTCCCCACCAACTCGAAAGTCGACGCTACCACGGACGCACAACACCACGTGCACGAAGCCAACATTGACGGTGCTCCTGCTATCTGTTATGGCTTTGTGCTGCGTCAAGTTGAGCGAGCTGTGCAAACACGTTATGGATTCAAGTATACAACGATTCAAGTCGAAGACAACGATTATGTATGCGACGACACAACGGATAGTGTTGTGCCCAATGCACAAAGTGCCGTTTAGTCATTGTACATGGAGATTACGACCACATCTGTGGCAATTCAAATATTTCGTGAGAAAGGACGACGACTACATTGTACTCGCGATACGTTTAGATACGATTGTACATACACCAGTTGAAATTTGCTCCCTTGTGTTATACTTGAAGTATTCTGTACG